GTAATCAAGAACTATTTTAGCTCTTTTCATAAACTTGTCTGAGCTGCTTTTGTTAAGAAGTGTCTGAAATGTAAATGAAGAAATGTTACAGATACTTGAGGCTCTGCTTACCTGCAGAAGAAACTGCAAGCTTTTCAAGCAACGGTGTCAGAAGTGTGTGCCTAGCTATCATGGGCACATTTAAAGAATCCTTAAGGGAGAAGAGATTATTTAGTAAAGTGGCCAGTGAATATTGCCACTGGACTAGATGATTGTTGTAGATCCCTTCCAACTGAACTATTTTATTCTATTATTGACTAGATTCAGAGGAGAATCATCTAGACAGCTACTGGTCCTCTCTTTCATCCCCTGCCTCCCTTCCCAGCATTGCCATAAACTAAGGGGTCAACTGCTTTTTGTTCTGTAGCCGCCACTGGACCCTGAGGGGTTGTTCTTCAGTGGTTTGAAAAACACATTGGTTTGGATGAGACACAGTCTTCATTTTCAAAAGCGTTGATCCTTCCTTCACAATTTATCCCAAGATGGCCTATGGATCCTCATGCCAGGGACTCCTGAAAGTGCAGATTAACTGCAACCAGATGTCCACAGTGGGATAGAAGGGGTGCTGTCAGAGGCAAGAGCTGGATGAAGTAGTATGGGAGATCATGTAAAGGACTTCCCAAATTCTGCCCTCCAAAGATTTTTGGTTTGGGGGTTATTGTTTGTTTTTTTGTTGTTGTTGTTTCAGTTTTTGGACTGGGTTTTTTTTTAAATTGAGAATGAAATCCAGGTCAATATGCAATGGCAAATGGCAGTTGTTTGACAACAGACTGTCTTCTACTGTCAGGAGAGGACTCACCAGTACAATACGCGTGATTATATCATCCCACGGGGATACAGCTAAATGAACATAGCAACACTACTCACAGAGTTCTAGAAATAAACTGTATCAGTTTCATGTTTTCATGATTTCTATTTACTTGTTTTCTAGTGAAAAAATAAAAGAGTTTACATGTAAGAAAGATTTAAGATAGCAAGAATATGATGAAAATGCAGGTAGCCATTTTGGCAAAGGAATACACAGCAGAACTGATAGAGTTTTTCTCAACAGCTCTTTTAATTACTTGCATGAATATATTCACCTACCAATTTAATAAATAGTCTGTGAACAGTAGAAGAGGGCTTATCTCATTTACAGTGCGAGATAAATACCATTTCAATGATCCTACTGTGAAGACAGATTTATCAACAATTTCAGGTTTAAAAAACCCACCAAAATTTACTGGATATCTGCAATTCATGAGTCTACAAAATCTACAGGCATTCTATAGCTCAGGAAAAGCACACATTTATCAGATTTATTATACACAATGAAGAATTACCGTAGGCCTCTTACAAAATCAGTGGGAGAGAGCTCCAAAAGATCCAAGAGAAGAAACATGAAAAAAGTAAAACCTACAGTTTGATTGCAGTGTTTGAATGCTGTACTATCACTGGCCTCATAAAACAAATACATTCATGCAAAAGGTTTATAGGCAGCATTCACAAAGACCTACTTTCGAAGGATATATGGCATTTTAGGTAGCTCCTTCAAAAAAATTCCACCATCAGTTTCTGCTCGAATGACTGCTCACTAGTTAAATTAATTTATTTGGTACTGCAATCTTCCTCTCTCCAACACATCACTTTTGGCCACAGCAACACACTTGAGTCTCCCAAGCCAAAGAAAATGTGATGGCAATGCTCCCTGCAGAGTTTTAACCTGGCTGAAACTTTTATTCTATCACATTGGCAATTTTTTTAAAAATATGTTGTCCGTTTTTATGAGCTGTTATGTGACTGTTATGAGCAGAGGTTTGGCGCAACGAGACTGAAAACATGAGTGTAACAGACTAAGTTCTGTCTTGCCACAAGTCCCATACATGGACTGGCTGCTGCCCTGCAGCTCTTGGGAAGAGGATTGTCATAGACCCACAGATGTGAATTTCCCTGCAATTTCAGCAAATTGGATAATGTAATAAGTTTATTGTCGCTATGAGAGAATAAATCAAGATAAGTTCGGGGGAAAAGTGAATAGGCTAGAGGACAAATATAGCCAGATAGCTGAGAGCTAAAAATAGCAGAAACAAAAGAAATTAAAAGATATTTGATAAAAGCAACAATATCTGTTCTCCCCTTCACTTAAATAAGATACTTTTACAGGTGGCCAGTAAAAGTTAAAAACTACATTCAGCAGAGCCAGTATGAAATAGTGATTTAGGTCAAAGTCCAAATCTGTGCTTCTCTTCTATTTTTTTTCCAACATTTTCATAAAGGCTAAGGCTCTACAAGCTCAGGAAAAAATTAAAATAACTGACAATTTAGATATGCAGTATTCATCAAATATTTTACTGGAAATTAATTCCCATTAGTATTCTTCAGTGATTTAAACAACCACAAACACGTAGGGAAGGAAATAAGAAGATCACAGACTGGTTTTGGAGATAGCAGTAATAAAATGTGAAAACCTAAAATTACCTCTAGGACACAGCAGATTCTGGTTTGGGGTTTTGGGTTTTTTTTTTCCCCCCAAGTTTCAGAGAGAGACTTTCATTAAAATATATCTTTAGGAAGTGCCTTAAAGTCAGGTTTAGGCCTACAGGCAAATTTATTCCTGACACAAATGCAGATGTTACAATGAAATTTCTCTTTTGGGGCGGGGGAGGGAGGAAGAGCAGCAAATCACCAACTTTATAAACTCTTAAGTTGTCACACAATTTTACCTCATAGAAGCCAATTCATGCATGCAAACAAAGCAACTATGTCGGTTTTATCTGTTGTCTAGCAGCCATAGGTCTCACACTAGATGAGGGTAAAAGAAGCTACCATTCTTAGTTAAGTCTATTTTGAGAGTTGCGAAGGAGAAGGAGGTGAACTCCAGACTATTTTTGAATGACAGCATAACGCTAACCCTGAAAACCACTGAAACCAACAAAAGGACCCACTAGCAATGAAGCAAAACATAGCAGAATGTAGATATTGCATAAGCACACTCACCTGAATTAGGAAAAGCCTGTTGCACAGTCTAAAGTCAATCCTTAGATACAGTGCGAATCAGAAGTATTTCTAACACACAGCTGTAAGTTAGGTTGAACATTCTGGTGACTGGTGAATTTAACAGCTGTTCTTCATTTTGGGTTAAAAGACAGACCCATTTAGGATCTTTGATGAAACCAGATAGCTTAGAACAACAGGCACATGTTGTAGGAGAAGGAAGGGTGTCACTCTTTTGCTTGCAGGAAGGGGAGAGCATGGGAGACAGCTTGCATCAGTCAAGGGGAACTAGCAGAACATTAGCCATAGTCACAACCTAGTACTACCAAAAAGCTAAAGGAGAGACAAGTCTTGGGCTAATTTCTGGTTGGAAAGGTGAGAGCTGTGAGTCAAGAAACTCTTCCCTGTTTTGTTCAAGGAAGGTGGACCTTGAGTTTCTTTTTAAAAATAGTCTTGGAGTGCATCAAACACCCAGTGCTCCTCCTGTGTTTTTTCCTCCTAAGCAAAGTATTACAGACCATGCTAATTCTGGTTAAAAATTGACTCAAAAAAAAACCCCAAGCCCAACTCCCAAGAATGCAGATTTAAGCTCAATCCAATGTAAGCATGTTAAAGGACAGTCAAACACATAACAAATTCTCTTTCCAAGGATGGAGGGGCTGAAGAATGGAGATTTTAACTAGTAGTTGGGTCTCAGTTTTTGTTAACTTTTTTTTCTCTTTACTGCTCTAAAAGTACATTCTTTCTACTCAAACTCATTTTGAATGAGAGATTAAAACTTACATTTGAGTATTTGCTACAGGGCAGAAAACCTTGAAATCAAGCGTCTTGGGAGCTGATTTCAGGAAATGGGTAGCAGATTTCAGCAACTGGTGCAAAATGGTAGAATGGCAATTTTCCTTCCCAAGTGTACTGTAAGAAAGATGGAATAAGCCTTTGTGAGAACACAGTCAACTGATCAGAAAGATTCTATATCAGCACTTAGTAATTTACCTGCCAGAAGAGTTACAGTGCAATTAGGAGCTGGGATGTGTTTTGTATTTTCACAGCTAATGCAGTAGCCCTTCTGTCTCCTGGCTGCATTAAAATGCTGTGTCTCACTCTACAATACTGACAGCTGTATCAAATCTAAAAGAAACCAGCAGTCACCTGTCACAACACCTTTCAGCGCAGCACACACTGCTTACCAGGCACTCATTCATTAGCCCCACTTTGTCTGAAATTCTCTCCCTAATTGTGTGCTTGCTGCTTTTCCGTTCATGATAGGCAGCAATTCTGCTGGCAAGCTTAAGAATAAAATATCTGAACAGCACCCTAAATTCACTCTTTAATTAACATATTCCTGCCGTATGAAAACACTGAACCCTTTCACTCACTCCTACTGGATCTGGTCTTACTGGATCTGACTTTCCACGGGGAAGTAGCTTCTGTCCCAGCCGCCAGCCTGTGCCCCGGCCTGTCCCGCAACCTGCAAGGGCTCTCGAGCTGCCCTGCGATGGCCTCTGCTGGCACGGTGCCACCTGTCTCTGACCCCCGGTACATGTTGCATTGGCAGGGCACGCTGGAGCTGGCAGACTTGCCCCTGCAGAAGGGCTCCGTGGAGCTCCTCAAACAGCAATGGGAGTCCGCCAATGCTACAAGACCTGGCCTGATGCTCCAGTGCTCACCAGCCCCACGGTGCCTGGTGCCGGGTAAGATCAGCTGCAGCAGCACTGTGGAGAAAGTGCCAGCGGACAACAGGAGGGCAGATGTCTTCAAGGAGGAGACCCTAGGTGGCCCTCAGCAGATTGAGAACTTCCTCATCACTGTGGAGGAGCTGCGGAGTCACTTTGAGGCCCTGGGTGGCAAGAAGGTAAGTGCCTGGGCTGGGCGGACACCTCGAGGGAATGGAGATGGGCCTCAGGACTGCGGGGCGGTTTCCCCAGCCTCACACCGTCCCTCTCCTGTGCCTTGCTGGTGATGGGCAGGGCCAGGCACAGCCCCCGTGGATGTCCTGTGGACATCCTTTGGATCAGTCTGCCAACTGGCGCTATCTGCTGATCTGTCAGGTAAGTTACTGTGCAATTGTCCTTGGCCAGTGCTTTTTAGCGGGGTAGAAAATCAAGATATTATGGCCTGAGAGAAGAATTCCCAAATGAAACTATTTGCAAACATTCTAAAACTTCTGAAGCAACTGCTTCTTATTTGTAGAACAGTTTGACTCCCTTTCAACTGAGAAACCTGCTTTCGCTTCACCCATTGGGTTTCACTAGCATAATATGACAGGCCTGGACAAATTGCAACCTTTATTTGCCATCAGATTTTTGTCTGAGAATGTCTGTGATTTCTTTGAACTATCTGGGGAGAAGCCGGGCTTTTCTAAAGCTTAAAAAATGTTTCAGAGAAGTATAGGATACAGAAAATCTTATTAGTAAACTTAATCTGGGCAACTTTACTCATTTTTGTGGCTAAAAAGTCTTTCACCATGCTTTACCACTTCTGCATGAAAACTAAAATGTTGCTGCAGGTTTTGCTTGCTGATGGAATATTTTATACCTTCCACATTGTAATTCCTCACTTCTCGTTCAGTTATCAGGTTAAAAAAAAAAATAAATCTCCTTTGAATAATTTTTACCCCACTTCTCAGTCAAAGATATCCTAAAACTTGATATCACAACTCTGTGTTCTACCTCCTTCTAACTGCTGCAGGATAACCCTGCCAGTCCATGTAGTCAATCATTTACCCATTTAATTTTAATGCTCAGAGTGATTTAAACATGACATTCTGGTCCAGAAACTAGAGTTCAGAATAATGCATGCTAACCGTGATATAATTCATACACAAAATCCTGCTATTAAAAGATATTAGAAAGCTTTTTTATGTGAAGAGTAAAATAAAAATTCATGTGATTCATGAAAAATCTTTTCATTGGCTTTAGACACTTAACACAAAAAGTAGCAGGTACCAATAAAATAAAGGTTAAAACTTTATGGGATTACTGAGCACTTTAAAGACCATATAAAATAGCCATAGACTGCTGCTAAATGGTATACTCGAATGATTTTAAGGTGGAGACCTTTTCGGTTGATCTAACTTAGTCATTTTTTAATAATAGCAAAATAAACCTTTTTTTTTTCTATGAAGCAGTACCTTCAGTACTGCAGACATGATCATTCTTGTAGGAACAAATTGGTTCTTTTTCAAATCTTATTGATACAAAGAGCTCCTTATTGAGTGAGAAAGAATAATTTTTTGGATTTAGAAAGCATTCTTCACTTGACAGGACTGCAGACCTTTATTTAAACAATGACTACCAAGAAAGTAAAAGAACTCCTTACTCCCAGTCTCAGAACTGGAGTTACACCAATTAAATATTACTTTGTTAGAGTTTCTTTGCAACATTTGCTACTGTTCCACCCGCAAATGCTTTGAATTCACATGCAGCTTAGAATCTGACCATTAGTATTATTATATCACTGACATACTTCATAAAAATTATTTCCAAATATATCTCTTTTTGCTAGGTGTTCCTCCAAGAGAAAAATGTATTATTTCTGATACAAAAGGGAAGCAAAGGTTCAGTAAAAAAGAGTGGAGGGTGGGGGAAAAAGTCAAGGAAGTGTTACTTTCCTCTTCTTTATCATTTGTTTCCCAAGAACGCTGCATATGAAATATATTTGAGTACAGCTCTGGTTAAAATCAATTTTTTTCTCTGGCCAGCCAGAAGTACAAAAAGAGGTATACTCTCTACAGAGCATGACTTTTTGCTAACTTGGTGAAACTCATGCAGGAATTGCAAATGTTAAGATCAGTATCTTGCAAAGAACATTGAAAAGCAGATGGTGCCTATGAACTAGGAAGTGACAAGGGGTAGAAAAGCATGAGGAACAGACCCTTTTTTCGGAATTCAAGTGGAAAAGCTTGAATTCTGTTGTCCTGTTCAGGTAGCTGTCTTAGGAAATAAGATTTATATTGCCTTTGAGGATTTATTTCCCCAGCACTATAAAACATCTTGAGGTTTCCAAGATACAATCGATATGAAATGTAGAAAAATGAAATCTGCATCATATGAAACTTTCACAATGTAAGCGTTACTTCAACATTTTTACTTAAAAAGAAAAATTTGAAAGTGACTACAAAAAATGTAGGCAGTCATACATGTGCGAGCTCCGTAGGCATACGAGTTCTGTGAAAGGACAGATTATTTCAGTAATATGAAAAGTTGGAGCCAAACTGATGCTGGTGCTAACAATGGCATCAACATCTATGTCCAAGATCTAATGGCACAAAAAATATGTAGAAATTACTGATTCCTCCACTGGTAATAGCGAATAAGCATGAAAAAACCAAAATCATGCAAGACAAATATGAACCACCGCAATCTCAGGCTTTGCATCTATAAAGCCTGGACTTTGTATCACATATTAAACTAATATACTGAAGATATTTAAAGGTGCATATTAAGCATTTGATGTATATCTAATTAATGATAAGAACCCTAGACGCTAGAGGTGACAAAGTCATTTATTAATATTAATGAATGTTAGGTATTTTAGTAGTTAAATATTACACCATGAGATAAGATGCTTGTCATGAAATACAATAGCAATGTAGTATGCCTTTGGAAGACATATTTTGAATATAGTTCTATGAAGTAATCAGTGGTACAAAAAAATACTTATATCACAATATAATGCAAAGCTATGTAAAGGTTTTAGCAAACTGGTTGGTTAAGATTCAATCTCATTCAGCCAGAGTACATTTCCATGGGCAGGAGTGAAAGATTGGGAATGAGCTAATGCATTTTTGTAGTGGTTTCACCCAGAAGCAATAGAGGAGGTTAGAACAAAGTTAGAAATGGCTATATGTAAAACTAAGCCAAGGCCAAGGCCATAGAAATCACAGTGGAATTTTTAAAATTTAAACAAAAAGTCTTTTAAGGCCCAGTGCCAGCTAACTATATTACATTTATATTACTTTACATATATTACTTATGCATAAATGAACATGCTCATTAGCCTTATGCTCAGAAAAAGACTGCCAACTGTAACCCTGCTTAAATGGACTATCTCTTAACTAATCAGACTTTCAAGACCGGGGCCCATCTTATTACATTATTCCGTAGGAAAATAAGATTGTATTCTAAAAAGGCAAAATACCACTGATTAAAAATTCTAAAACTTCTCATTCAGGTTGCATTTCCATTGCAGTGCTGTTATTTGTATATGTACAAAATCCATAGAGAAAAATCAGGGCAATTAAATAATGTTAAACCATGAAGTCACTTTTAAACAATTAGATCTGTCATATAAAGAACTCTCTGTTGGTTCAAAACTGAAAGATATTATTATAGGCAGCTGCAAGTGTATTTGGACTTTTGGCTACATGTTAAACTATGCCCAGTCCTCATTATTTGAATGGAAGTAACATTCCATATTGCAGTAAGAGAATATGAGAGAGAGTAACTAGAGTCAGGGACTAGGTTTAATAGTTTTGAAGCTAAATCACTTGGTGAAGTCAAATTATTTTTGCCTAAGTTTATCCAAGTGGAATTTGGATGTATTTCCTTCCTAGGAGTATTAATAAGTTAATTAGGAAGTCTGTTGCTGGAGCTTTTTAATGGAAGCCTATAGTATCAGACCTGTTCATATCTTTCCATTATTTAGAAATAAACTGATGTCTCATGCTGATAAAATGAAAAGTATTTTCACCTTTTCTATAGGAAAAAAACTATTTCTTATGAAGTAATAATATATTAAAACATCAATTTACTATACTGACTTATCACTCCCATGAAAGAACTACTTTAGTTTATTAGCACTCAAAGGCATTGGAATGTTAAAGCACCTAAGGCCTGTGTTTGCTGGAAAGTGATTATGTATGTTTTTCTTAAAATATGTTAAAGCATCCCAACTGAGAAAGTAATTTCATGCTTACTTTTTAGAGAAACCTATTCAAAGAACTCGTTAAAACCATTCATTTAAATAATCTGGTATATGTTCATTAAACTGTGTCCTTTGCAGAAAACATATGAACTGCTGCCAGAAAGTAAATGAAGGGAACAGATGTTTAATGTAAAAGGTTAGACCTTCACTAAAATTGTTTAAACAAGCAGCATCTTTTTTCCCTTAACATTCTCAGAAACGTTTATATTAATTTAGCATAGCTATGTAATGCAGAAAAGAACAGAAACCCCACAACAACTGTAGGTCCGTTTTGTACCCTGTTAGCACTTACATCATTTGTATTTTTGTTATGAATGAATGAAAGTGAATAGTGACGAGTGCATGGGATGGCCAAATGATTACCCTTGCTGAAAAGCTTGATATTGAAAAGAGTGCAATATGGTCACCCTTCTGGATTTTGGCTTCATCTCCTTCTTAGCTCATTCTTTTTGTGACACAGTGCATTCCTCCCCTTTGTTTTCATGAACTTTTTTCTATGGCAAAAGATTCCACAACAAGGAAAGGCCACATTGTCTATGGGACTTGAATTGTAGATCGTGAAGAAGAGGTTTTGGTAAAAATTCACATTCTTCTTTTTTTTTTTTCCCTTAAAGGAAAACTTTTCTTCTGTGCTTTTACTTTCTCAGTAAATATATTGGCTCTTTACAAGTACCTTACATATCATCTGGAGAAACAATCTCCCTCCCACTTTGGTTATTCTTATTTAACTCCTGTCTGAACTGGACTGGCTTTTCACAGTTTGGAAGATGTATTAAATTTCTGCCTTTCTAGAAACTGGACATGTTGACAGAGTTCTTGCTGATCTCTACAATGTTTTACACCAGGGAAATAACTGTTCTGATGGTGGGAATGGAGCTTTCCGAAGCTCCTTTGTTCACAAACAGTCCCATGAACTATTGCAGTACAATGAGTGTATATATATACATATATACACAAAAACATACATATATATATAAAAGTCTTCTATAAAGTACTGCTGTTCCTTCCTGTTTAATGATTTGGCAGTGATCCACATTCTATCCCAGTGTATCACCTGCAGTTCTTCAGTCCTTCTAAGCTATTTTCTCTGTGTTAGTTACACTGTTATGCTTTCATTGTATAT